CGCCCCTTCCCTGCCGGGGCTGCCAGCTCGGCTCACGCACAGCCAAGTGCGTGGGATGAAAGGGAGCTCCCGGGGTACCGAGGAGCGCTGGTGGCAGCATGAAGGTCACGCCGCGTCCCAGCGGCAGTGCTCTCTAATGCTGCTGATCAGAGATGCCCGTGGGGATTGCGGAGCAGCATGGAGGTGACCTGTGTGCTTGGGGTCAGTGGGCCGTGGTGTGCGTCAGCCCCAAGAGACTTAATCCCAACTGGGCAGGGGGTGACGGATTCCTGACCCGCAACTGAGCCTGGCATCTTGTCCAGCATCAGCGCGGTCCACCTCCTGCCGTAACCAGACAGGGTTGAATGGTGCCGCCCTGGCTCTGGGAAGGTGAGGAAAAATAATAGGAACAGGCAGCAGAAAATGTAATGTTTTGTCTTGAGAAAGGAGCCCTTTGCACCTTTTCTTCCTCCCTGAAATAGCTTTTCCTGCCACCCAAAAGGAGATAGAATATTCTGCAGGGCATTATTTCAAAGGAATTTTTTTTTTTAATTTACTGTAATCATGTGACAATGCTTGTGAATGGCCTGCTATGTGGGAAAATAAATATGCAAATACTGTCCCCAGGTCTGCCAGCAGGATTCTCCGAGCTGTTTCCCAAACACACAGTTCAGCCTATGCTCGTTATCAGTTCTAGTCCTTCACGCAGGACTGCATGAAATGCAATGCAGAAAAATGCTGGGATTTCTGCAAGCTGAAAACCTGCGGGTAAAGCTGGGAGTTGCAGGGAGCTTTGTGACGCCTTTCTCAGAGAAACTGTCTTTTTGTGCACGGCTTTAACTGGAAGCAGATGCCTGCACAGGGAGCCGCAATGCTGCTTGTCCCACAGCAGACTTGCAGGATGCCACAGGATAGTGAATTACTTCAGGTGTAGGCTAGAAACAGAGAGCAGTCAACTGGGATCTTCCCCAGTGCTGCGGTTTATTCCCTCCACTGTGACCGCTGAGTACATCAGGGATACGGAGGTGCCTCGGGAAGTCCCAGTGGAGGAACGGTAAGAGGGAGCTTCATTCAGCTTTGTGCCGTGGAAGAAGGCAATGGCAAGCTCAGGCTGTCCAGGAGCACCAGACAATTAAATGGTCTGGACAAAGGAGGAACCTCGGTGAACAGAACATCTTCCACTGTTCCTGTGTTGGGTCTGGGGCACCCCTCTGCTTCCTGATGAAGAGCTCATTCTCGCTGTTAGACAACTGAAGAGCCAAGCTAATGGTGCTTCATGGGGTTTGGACATATGTCTAGGAAAGGGGCTGGGTCTACCTGTGCCATGTCATGCAAACTGCAGATTAAAGAGCTGCTCGCTAGAGCCTAGCACAATCTAGTCGCCCCAAGAGGTTTATCATTCGTGCATGGAAGCAGATGTTTGGTTAAGGTTTAGAATCACCTATCACTGAGATACTTTTCCATAATTAGCCACGATTGGGGAGGATGTCATCAATCCATTTCTCAATACAAAAGTGAGCACTAAGTGATTCACCAGGTTAGATGCTCTTCCCTCGTCCTCTCTGCTTAATTCTTCCAAGTTTGAAAATGATTCTTTGCTTCTGTTTCTCTTTTTCTCACAAAATCAAATTCTGATACAAATGGAGCAGGATGGGAATGGGTTTATTTCTTTGCTGTTTTAATACAAGTATCCATATATTTCTGACCACTATTTCTCATAATAGTATAAAAAAAAAAAAAAAGAGATGAGTGGACTTGTAGCTGCTTCAAAACACTTGCCAAAGTTTCAGGTTCTGAAGGACTGATGGGTCCTTCTGGGCTGTGACACCACTGCTTGTTGCACAGCCTTGTCTTCTTTTACCAGGCTGTCAGAGTCTGCTGGGAAAGATGATCTGCAGGCCCACAAGGAGAAATTAAACATCCTGGACAGATGTTGGTTCAGGCCCATGCAGTTTCAGCTGAAGCTTTCCAGACTGGTTTTGACCCGTTCCATTTCATGCAGGAAACTGTAGAACTGGGGCAAAGTTAATTCTGCAGAAAAAAAGAGGCGTCAAAGTCTTAGATTTCAGGTTACATTGGAAAAGCCATTCTGGTGCTACCACAGGGTAACCTGCAGTCACCTAAGCTAGGCAGGATTTGACACTGTGGATCTCAGCAGCTGTTTTTTTACACTAGCTGGGCTGCGTGGGGTTCTGGGCTAGGATTCTCCTAACAGCACCCGATGCTTGGGAATTGTTTACTTCCTTTGTCTGCCATGCTGCTCTGACTGCTTTTCACAGCTCCATGGCATATCTATATTTACTTAGGCAAAGATGTGAAGACTGCCCAGCACTCGGTGTTCCTAAATACTTCCAGAGTGACTGCGGTGGGGAGAGGCCAGGGCAGGAGCAGCTGCAGCATCCACCAGCGATGCTCTCGCACTGACCCCTGCTGGGTCCACGCCCAAAGCTCCCCAACCTCCAGCAACACTCGGAGTTCTGAGCTGCTGCTCTGCTTTTGCCAACTCCAACGCTTACTTCTTTTCCAGAACTGTTAACTCACCTATATATACGTTTTCCATTTGGCTCCCTTTTTTAATCACCAGCTTCAGCTTGGGGGAAGAAAAAGCAGAGGTATTTTAATTCAGAGAGACCTGTATTCTGAGCACCATGAAAACACAGAAGTGCAAGAGTGTGCTGTGAGTTTCAGATGGGCAGACTGCTGCAAAGCACGTGTGTCTTTGACAGGCTTTTCGGGAAATGTCACTGTAGGAATAGATTCCTCAGGCATTGCGAGGATCTCTGGAAGTCCTTATAAGTGATCACGTTTCCCCTCCCTCCCCGAGAGAGCGTGACCTTTGCTAGATTGAGCTTTTTGAACAGCTTTTCAGAGTGGGCTACGCTTCTGTGATACATGATGCCTTCAGAAGAGAAGCAAATAGCAGCGTGCCTGCTGTCTGCTGGCAGTTGCACACAGAAGACTGAAGCAGATGCACCGTTGCAGACCTTGTTCCTATGAGATCTAGCATTCCTCTAGTTCCTCACAGCCAGTGCTTCCCACATGCCTGGTCGCAGCTTGCTCCTTAACGGCACTACAGCCTGAACTCTCTGATGTAGAAGATTTACCTGTAAGAAGATACTCCCCACTTTTTCCAGTTCACTACTCCCAGCAGTCACTGTGAGTCAGAAAGAAGAGAAGGGAGATAACCTGTTAGCTAAACTGTGAAATAAAAGTTATTTAGCTGAGAGCTGCTGTTGGATTTCCCAACCCGCTCAGTTTACGTTTTAGCTCTATTACCTCCAAACTTCCACTCCATATCTACCAGCTGGTTAATCATCAGCGTCTGACCAACAGCCAGGCGTGTTAGGGTGGGGGAATTCACCTTCCACTGCAAGAGCAAAAGACACACGAGCAATCAATTCAGAGGGGCCTCTATTTATGTTACCTGTAATTTCAACATAAGTCAGAAACGAGGCAGACTGATGGCAGAAGCCCAAAGAGGAGGTGGGCAAAGAGGCAAACTAATGTGGTCAGGAGGGCTTTCAAAGATGTTTGAGTCCTGCTAAGATTTCCATCTGCCTTGTCACTTCTGTAAATGAAACTCGCTGTTTTTGTTTTAACACACTCGCTGTTTTTGTTTTAACACTGGTTCAGTGTAACAATATCTGCGCAAAAGTCATGTGTTGGCGTAACTGCATGACCTCGGGGCTCAAAGCATGCAAAGCAGGAAAACAATCAAATGAACGCCACACAGAAGTGCAGAATCATGAAACCAATGAGGTGAAGGCCACGGCAAACCAGAAGTATCATTAGATAAAGTGCTCCTTATCGGTTATCCAGGGATCTCCAGTTCAAAATTCTGAGCTGGTTTTGAAGAAAATACCCAAAGTGCTGACACATCTCAGTAGCACAGTGGGGTTTTACAAGTTCCCACTCAAAGACTGTCATTTTGTTAGCTTAGAAACAAGCAAAAATGTATTAATACCTGTTCTGCAAAATAACTGGCTTTCTCTTCACTGAGGCCTGTGGGAGAAATCATATGAGATTACTATATGTGACAAATATCAATTATCTTTTATTTAGTGAAAGTCAGGTGACCTACCTAGAGCAATAAAATCTGCTCTGACTTGTTCAGAAGACAAATTCCTCTTCAGGGCACCTGAATAAACAATGCAAAGAAGAAAAAAAAAAAAAATCACTTTTTTTTACTGAGTCAAACCAATCTTTACCGAGTCAAATAAATGCAAGGAGGGAGACCCTGCGAGAGAAAGCCTCTGTTCTTGGACTGTGTTTTGAAACAAACCACAGCTCGTCAAGATAGGAAATACAGTTGTGCCTGCCGGTATCTTTGCAGATGCCCAGTGCTTTAAAAGTCAGGGCTACGGGAGTGCCCGAGAGAGAGGGAGAGATTTCATTGCAGGTATCCATGGAAACAGCAGCAGCGGTTGTGTTTTGAAGTTGCTGCTTTCTCTCCTATAGAAGCTTTGCTTGTTAAAGGAGAACTGTTAAGGCTGGCAGGCTACTAATTTGACCTACCTGCTGTGTTTTGGATTATGGGTGTGAACGTGTGCATATAACACTTTCCCCTGCTGTGCCTGCCTCCTTTGTTCTGGGGCACAGGCAGCACATGGAAGTTTACAAGGATTCTGTTCTCTGAAGCCAAGAGCAGGAATCTCATAAATTCAAAGACACTGCCAGTCCCACGTGGCTTTCCGTCTGTGTAGCGCATCGGCAAAGTTATCTGCTGTAATCTGTTCCGATGCCGTCTGTGGCATCCCAGAGCTAAGGAAAAGTTACAATGGGATTGGAGGAACAGGAACAATGAGACCGAGTGCACTTAGTCCTGAATCGGGAAGGGAGAAAATGCTGATTCCACATGAAATACCCCCAAAACAGTTGGAGGAAAGGAAATTATTCAGTGTTACTCCTGGACAGAAGAAATGGCTTGAAGTTGTATATGAATGAAAGTTTAAACCAAATGCGGGAAACAGTTGTGCACAGCTGCACTGCTGTGCAGAAAGCTATGGGGAACCCAGGACTGAAGGATAATAGCAAGGGACTATTAATAACAAGAAGGATCAATGGGATGAAGATGCAGTGGAGGTGTTTGATGCATTATCATGTCAAACGGCAGCCACAACATCAGAGCAATATCATAAAGTGCTGGAGCCTAGGGTATTCAAGGGGAATCCCCCGGCCCCTCTGCCCCTCTATTTATGAATGAGAAACTGCTGGACACGTTAAGTGTTTTTCTAAAACAAGACTGCAAGGACAGATGTCTCCTTTACGTGGCCTAGAACTAGGCGGGTTTCCAGCCCACTCTAGAGGGGTGTGTACACTCTTATCCTTCTCAAACAGCACTTGTCCTTGTAGGAATTACATACAGTACTGGGTCACTTGGATGGAAGTTCCTACAAAGACAGTGCCAACATGAGGTTGTGCTGGTCTGGCAAAAATGGGTTTATAGGTACAAGTTAAACCAAGCACAACACTGTCACAGTGTTAATGCATTTAATGCATAGATATTTAAGTGAGTTTAGTTAAGCCTGTGAAACGTGTGCAGGCAGGGTGTAAAGAATACAAAGCCCAAGTCACTAAACAGGGATATTTCAACAGGACATTTTTTGATTCTTAAATGCTAAGCCATTTATTAGCTACCATTAGCACTTACTGTGCAAACTAAGTGCACTGCAGTTCTGAAGACACACTTTAGCAGCATGCAGGAATGGACAGCAATAGTTTGGCCTCTGGGTAGCATGTGCAAATGTATCACTTACCATTAGGTACCAGAAGAATACTTTTGACAATGTTTTTCAGGGGGCCCAAGCTGATTTTATTCATGGTGGCAAAGTCTGAGAGCTGAGTCAGAAACCTTTCTACCTGCTCAAGAGAAAGAGCAGCGACACAATCTTATCTCCAGACACAATCTTATCTCCATTTCTCACCAGAGCGCTGCATTCACACACTTCTCCTTGGTGTTCTGCACATGCCTTACCTCCTTGGGCTCTATTAGAAAGCGGAAGAGGATTTCAGTCAGCGCTGAGAATTGCTGTGAAGAAACAGGACAGTGTTACTGAGTCAGGCATCTGCACATATCATTTCTCAGCACCTCACCACCCCTGTCACCACCACTACTAGGTGGTGATGTACCACCTTGATGCAGCTCCACCTGCCTCCAGTACATTGGTCCTAGAGTTTGACCTCCCATGCTGGTAAGGTACTCCAGTCCTCGGCATTACAAGATGCTTGTGGATGGGATTTGTTCATGGATGCTTTTCAGAGACTCTCAAAGGGTTTGAGCAGCTGGTAGCTGGCACTGCACAGGGCTTTTGTGACTCTTGGCTAATCGGAAGCTGCTGTTCTATCCTGCGTAATCCAAAAACTGAGTGGGAAAAGATGCAAACATCTACTCTCATGTTTCACAAATCCCATGGGGTAGCCAGACTAACTCGGGAAAGGAAAGGAACTAGTTAAAGGTTGAGTTGCTGTCTTCAGTTGTCTGAGCTGGCAGGGCTGGCCAGCCCGCCTGTAGGGCACAGCACCACCCCCCTCCCTCCTCTGTGTCCTGACCTTCTGGGTACGGCTGGCTGGTCTGCTGCTGCGGTGGCTCATCCTGTCCTACCCTTGCCGTCAGCCTTGGCCTGTTACCCATGGTTCTGGCAAGCTGAGCTAAAAAAGCCTCAGCTCTTCCACTAATTTCAGTGTGAGCTGAACCGGCTTCTGAGACGCAGCTGCACACCCAGTGCAGATGTGTACCGCCAACCAGGAGCACCGACTCGGGTGGTAGGGTGGCAATCACAACCCCAACGCCATGCAGTCCCACCGAGAAGAAACACTGCTCGGCAGGACACTACTGCCCACACAGAGCACGACGCGAGTGCCTCCATTGCCCTGAACACCTTGCAGCCTGAAAAACAGGCTCCTGCGGTGCGCAGGGCTCACCACGGGGCCACACTCTGCAACCCCGCTCCAGGCACCAGAAAACGCTGTTCCCTTCTGGAGCAGGTCGAGACCCGGCTGGGACCCCGGCACTGGGGCCTGGAGGCCTGACCGGGCCTGGTACCAGGGCTGCTCCGGGGCTGCAGGGCCTGGAGGCCCAATGGGGCCTAGTACCGGGGCTGCTCTGAAGGTGTGGGGCCTGCTGGGCTCGAC